ATTTAATAATCCATTTTCTCTCTGCTGGTAAAGTCACGTGTTTGTCTCCTATTGTAAAAGGGATCAGTAAGGTAAGGCTACCGTGACGGTTTGATTCAGAAGGAGTTTAATGTACAAGATCCCTGATGTTAAGGTAACCAGAATGTTTAATTTCCACCTGTGTACAACATGTTATAAGGGACCCACAATCTATCTTTATGCAAGGGATAATGTGCAGCGAGGCGTCTCTATGGGGAAAAGAACACCTGAATCTAGATCCCTCTGCAGGTGGTACTTTAACTATATTTTGATGCTAATACTTTTGTACTTTTACTTGAGTAACATTTTGAATGCAGGATCTTTTATTGTAACCGAGTATTCCTACACTCTGGTACTGTTACTCAAGTACAAGATCTGAACTTCTCCCACCTCTGGCAATAAATCCTGAGTGGTTACCAAAAAAAAACCCTGCTCTGAAGGTTATTTTCATTTTACAAATCCTGCACTCAGCTTTGCTTTCTCCAAAATCATTGAAATGCAGCCAGATGCTGCTTCTTTTTTCGGTTTTTCGCAAATTTCTTGACTTCTTTCCGACGCGCTTGCATTTAAATCCGTCTCCCCGTCTCCCCGTCGCTCTGTGTAGCTGGCCTGTACCACTACACCTGCTGTCTTTGGAGCGTCTGCCCCCCACCCTTCTTTCACATAATGGTATGATCCTAGTGTGTCCTCGCATATGATTGGCCGCATGGTGGCTCAGCAAAATAAAGTCCCGCCCCTGCCTGCAAGGATTCTCAGCAAGAGTTGCAGCGGCTGAAGATTCTGCTCTCCCCGACGGGAGTCTGCTCTTCTAAGCGGCATCTCGCGATCGGCGTGTTGGAGACCCCTGAATTAAATCATCAAGTCACCTCAAGTCAGAAGGCTCAAGTCCAAGTCAAGTCCCGAGTCATTGGTGTTCAAGTCCAAGTCGAGTCGCAAGTGTTTTGTGATTTTGTCAAGTCGAGTCCAAAGTCATCAAATTGGTAACTCGAGTCTGACTCGAGTCCAAGTCATGTGACTCGAGTCCACACCTCTGCTACATACTGATATACACCTGAACATCAGCAGGAGAGGACTCTTAAAGTAGAGACACTACATACTGATATACACCTGAACATCAGCAGGGAGAGGACTCTTTAAAGTAGAGACACTGAATACCGATATACACCCTGAACATCAGCAGGAGAGGGACTCTTTAAAGTAGAGACAACTACAGACTGATATTACACCTGAACATCAGCAGGAGAGGACCTATTATAAAGTAGAGACACTACATACTGATATACACCTGAACATCAGCAGGAGAGGACTCTTTAAAGTAGAGACACTACATACTGATATACACTGAACATCAGCCAGGAGAGGACTCTTAAAGTAGAGACACTACATACTGATATACACCTGAACATCAGCAGGAGAGGACTCTTTAAAGTAGAGACACTACATACTGATATACACCTGAACATCAGCAGGAGAGGACTCTTTAAAGTAGAGACACTACATACTGATATACACCTGAACATCAGCAGGAGAGGACTCTTTAAAGTAGAGACACTACATACTGATATACACCTGAACATCAGCAGGAGAGGACTCTTTAAAGTAGAGACACTACATACTGATATACACCTGAACATCAGCAGGAGAGGACTCTTTAAAGTAGAGACACTACATACTGATATACACCTGAACATCAGCAGGAGAGGACTCTTTAAAGTAGAGACACTACATACTGATATACACCTGAACATCAGCAGGAGAGGACTCTTTAAAGTAGAGACACTACATACTGATATACACCTGAACATCAGCAGGAGAGGACTCTTTAAAGTAGAGACACTACATACTGATATACACCTGAACATCAGCAGGAGAGGACTCTTAAGTAGACACTACTACTTATATACACCTGAACACAGTAGGGAGGACTCTTAAAGTACACTACATACTGATATACACCTGAACATCAGCAGGAGAGGACTCTTTAAAGTAGAGACACTACAGACTGATATACTGTACAGCTGAACATCAGCAGGAGAGGACTCTTTAAAGTAGAGACACTACAGACTGATATACTGTACACCTGAACATCAGCAGGAGAGGACTCTTTAAAGTAGAGACACTACAGACTGATATACTGTACAGCTGAACATCAGCAGGAGAGCACCACTTTAAGGTTCATACTTATTACAAGTATTACTCAAACATGTGTACATACTAAAAAAAATACTGCAATAAATCAGAGGATAGCCGATCCAACTTAAAGGTTAGCAAGCATTAAACATGAGCTGGTGTTAAAAACACAACTTGCTTACTGAGTTATTACTTATAGCTGTGTTTACCCTCTGTCTGAAACACTTTGTCTTAGCACCTTTTCCTTTAATCCCCCCCTTCTGTAAAAACCCTAGTCTGCTTTGATTGGCTTGCAAGAAAAATACGGCAAACTTTGCAAATGTAGCTTTCAAAACATGGGTGGAGATACTGAGATGGGATATGACATAAGAAGGGGAGCCAAATAGGAATGGCTTGATGAATCCCATGATTTCTAAATCCAAAACACTGACTGGCTTAACTTATTTCACCCTTTGTGGGTTTGTAGGCACTCCAGATACTTAAATATACAGTATGTGCACAAGTACTACAACATGTCCCATTTAAAATAAATCCAATAAGCATGACCTTAACTGAGGTCACTCTACTCTGCTCTACATTGTGCATCTAACCTCACAACACCCTTCTCCTCTGAACGGCCCAGCGAAGAGCTAGTTCAATACAAATATTGATGATTAATCACAAATAAATATATAATGATTCTTGCAGCATATCCCCGAGGTAGCACTACTACTCACTGCTGGGTGAATTTGCATATGAAAGGTACGGCCAGACATTCCTGTGTGCCCCGAGTCTAAATATAACCCCCGGTCTGAATAATGTAGATGGGGTGGTGCGGGCGGTCAATAATTAAGTGGATCTCACATATAGGCACTCATTTACAGTGCAAAAGGTGAGTGTGCCAATGAAGCTCAGGAGTCACAGGTAAGACTCAGCAGCATCATGTTACTGAGGCTGAACGTCAAACACAGGTAAAGCAGATACTGTGTGATACGTGGCACATTTCTTATTATCTTATCTGAATCACAGCTTTATTCCATGTATATATAGCCTTCATATTGACTCTTGCTTTACAGTTAAGAATGAAAAGATGGGGAAATATGTTGAAATTATTTCTAAAAATAAATTGAATGACTTATATCAGGGGTGTCAAACTAAATGTAATCGCGGGCCACATCAGCATTATGGCTGCACTCAAAGGGCCGGTTGTAACTTATAAATATATAAAATAATGTATTATATAACATTATTGCCTCTGCATTGGATTATTTTTGGATAGGGTAATAACTTTCATAATTAACTACGTCTGAAAGCGGAAGTATAGGGGAAAGAATTGCAAGTCTCTTCAGTGAGAATGTCACAAAATGATTTAAAAAGAAAAGCTGAAAAAAAAAAAGTCAAAAACAGAAGTGACATTTTTTTTTTTTTAAAGTAACATTTAAAAAAAAAGTCAAATTCTGAGAAAAAAATCTAATTTGAGATGCATTGTGGGACGTGTAGTTTATGGGAAACGAGCTGCTGTAAATCAGCATGTAACCGTATAATAAACATATTATATTCTTTGCAAGCTCTTGTGGGGCCACATGAAATGAAGTCACGGGCCGGATTTGGCCCCCGGGCCTTGAGTTTGACACCCCTGACTTATATCTTTACTGGGGTTGCTCTACTTTGTCAAAATGCAACATGTCTAAGCAAGCTTTTTGTCAAATTAATATCATGTTAAGATCATCCTGGACCAAATCATTGAAATGTATTCCAAATAATCACCAAAATATGCTTAAACTCGTAAAATGACACTACTGGAATCACTTTGCCTTTCATTTAAACCTGCTATAAGTATACAATTCATCAACCAATCTTAAATAAGGTATAAGGTCCTTATACGTATACTATAACGCCTTTATTCATGCTGGGGGGCATGAATAAAGGATCAAGGGATCTAAATTGTGTATTTCTGTTCTTTCTGACATGCTAATTCCTAGAATGAGTTTGAGTAAGTATGAAAAGATTGGGAAATATGTTGGGAAATACATGTTCTCTAAAAATACATTGAATGACTTATACCTTCACTGAGGCTACTCTACCTTGTCAAAATGCAACGGGTCTAAGCAAGCTTTCTGTCAAATAAATATCATGTTAAGGTTATTCTTGCCAAAGTAATTGGAATGTATTTATTAAAAAGTCACCAAAAACTCTTAAAAAACACTAAAACATACTGGGATCACTTTGCTTTTCATTTAAATAGGAAATACATACTGTTATTACATTGCAGATGCACATATCCTTTATTTAAAACATGGTTTAACCAATCTAAAATACAGATATGGTCCTTATACTTATACTATAAGCATGACTAAAGGAAACTACATCTAAAAATAGATCCACATTGTGTAATTATGTTATTTCTTGAATGATACTTCCTAGTATGAGTCACTATGAAACGTTTGGGAAATACGTTGACATGTTTTCTTAAAATAAACCAAATGAGTCGCACCTCACTGAGGCTTTCCTCCTCAGCAACAGGTCCAAGCTACTTTCTGTGTTTGTTTTTCCACACTCGTGCACAACAGCTCTGATTTTTTATGTAACTCCATGCAACATCTAAAAAAAGATCAAGTCGTGAGCTGTTTTTTTAATCTTTCAGTATGCACAAGCCCTTCAGTCAGTGTTGTCCTGCATTAGCCCACATGGCAGAGCATAAAAAAGAGACAACAACACCACTGAGGCTTCCCCCGGAACATCAGCAGGCTCAAAACAAACCCAACAACACACCGCCATTGAATGACCCAGCCAGCAGGTCAGCGTCAGATCGCAAAAAAAACCACACAATCCAATATTCATCCACACAGAGAGAGAGAAAAACAAAGTGGTACCTTGCTCCTGATCTGCCCGGAGGTGGACACTTTCCGGATGAGTTTCTGGGGGCCTTCCTGCTCTGCGTCGCTGTCAGAGGACTCCTCTGCAGCCCCGGATCCGGCGACAACCCCCACCACATGGGCATGGATCCCCGCCGCGGACACCGGCCCTTTCTCCGGTTCCTGTTGCGGGGAAAGAGAGCACCAATCCGGGTTAGCCTTGGCTCGATCCGCCGCTCCCTTCCTCTCCAGGAGGCGAAAAGGCTGCAGGGAAGAAGCGTCTCTCCTCGCTGTCATCGCTCCCTGAAACAGTGTGTTGTGCAGAGTGTGTGGGCTGGGATAGGGGATGTTGTAGCATGGCACAGTGGGGATGGGCTCCACAGAAACAGAACCCCCCCCCCCCCCCCACCCCCCCAAAGTCCCTGCTTCTGCCTGGCTGCTTGCTGCTGCTTAGCTCCAGCCTCTGCACGGCCACTGTGAGAAGAGAGACCGCCTCATGCACTCCGATAACCGGGGGACATGTCCGTGCCATGGCAGACCCTAGCGGCGGCTTTACGCACACACCGAGCAATGGCATAAAAAAAACAAAAAAAATTCTAACTCCTTAAATTAGTTAATTTTTATTGCGTAATAATAATAATATTAATAGCAGTAATTTAGACTTAGACAAATACTTTATATGTTATTTAATAATGATATATTTGTATTAATATATTATTATTATGTAATTTCCATTGGGTTATAATAATAAAAAATATAAATAATAATAATAATAATATATTTGACTTAGAAAAACACTTTATAAACTTACTTAAATTATATTATTACTATTATTTAATTTCCATTGGGTTATTATAATAGTGATAAATACAAATAATAATAATTCAGACTTAGAAAAGCACTTATTACACATTATATACATTTAACGTAATTATTATTATTTGTATTATTATGTCATTTCCATTGCGTGATAATAATAATGAATACTATACTACTAAGCACTTTGGGATTACTTTTAGCAATGAAAGGTGCTTTACAAATATAATTTATTATTAAAATGTGTTATTAGCCTACTACTACTACAACTACTACTACTAATAATAATACATTTAATTTAAACAGTGCTTTTCTAAGTATCCTCTAAACTGTAGTCTTAGTCATATTAAATATTTAAATTCAATGTTTAAAGGTTTTTATTGTGTAGACTCCACAAACAGTGCAGCATATAAGACATAAAAGAGAACCATAATGCAAGTAACCGATAAAGCCCATAGACATATTTCATTAGCCTTCTCCTTATTATCTGCCTATGAAATAGTTTGATTTGTTTCACCAAGAATGTAAATCCAGTTTCCAACAGGATCTGATCGCAGTCTAACTGTCTGGGAGTCACTGAGATACACCATTCATTTGACGTATTTGTTTAAATGAATTTCCATGCAATGGGCAAGGCGATATGATTTGGATTCCATGTGGGCAGGGAAGCCTCAGATTATCTGAAACATGAAATATCCTCTCGATCCAGAGAAGAGAAGAGGAGAGAAGAAGAAATGCCCCTACCCATTCATCTGAGACTAAACTCAACCACGAAGAAACCTATCTATAAAATCCAATTGATCGACATTCTTATACATTTACAGTCACTTAAATACAGTCTAGCTTATCATTGTCAATGATTGTGTCTTTGTTTTTACCATAGCCAACTCTTAGCCATCCTACAATAACATGGTTTTCCGAGACGCAATCCATTCTACAAATCACGGAGAAAGACAGAACAACGCGCTTCACGAACACACACAGTCTATTAAACAGGAGGAAACACCTCCAAAGTGAACAATAATGTCAGAACACACTCATATAAACACACGAGGGCATTATAAGCCGAATCTGATTGATTTCTTTGGAGAAACTGAGCAGACTCGTAGTGGAATTTGGAGAAAAGTCTCCAGTTTTACGCACCAGTTCCTCCCACGCAGGGCTGCGGGTGTAATGGTGGACATCCTCCATAGTGTGTCCTCTCCAAAATGAATCCGGGAAAGGGTGAGGGATTCTCAGCCTGCCTCCCTGCCTGCACACCGCTCATATGAACACTCAATACACGGGATTAATTCTCCTTGTAGTCCCTCAATCACTCCACTCTCTCTCTCTCCTCCCGTTTCCTATCCGAGCCTATCAGCTGCACGTGATAAATGTCAACCGTGGGGCGGTACGATTTGTCACAGCCCGGCGGGGATCACACACACACACACACACACACACACACACACACACACACACACACACACACACACACACACACACACACACACACACACACGCACACACACGTGAAAACAGACTTCAGTGATTTATTTTGTATTCATGAACATCAGTGGTTTTCATATTTTATATTAAATATTTGTTAAATACACAATTCGTCTTAATTGCCTTCTTATTCATAATGTTGTTTTTAGTAGTGCTACTCTATTGTTTCAGTTATTGGGAAAAATTTTGAAATCATGGTTTGGAGACATGATTGACATGAGCTGTCTTCAGTGATTCATATTATGTGAGTGGGTGCAATTTACATTACCAATTACTTTTCCTAATCCTATTTATGTGATCAGTGATTTCCCCAATTTCCCCAATTTCCTCAATTTCCCCCAATTAATAAAGTCATATGATTTAGATACGTAGCTCTTTTCTTCACTGAACACTTCCCCAGAACTCAAATGTCAATAAACGTATTTTTGTAATATGTTGTTCATAAATGTGCTCAATCCATTCATTTACTTGATTACGGCCTTTTTGTATGGGTGGAGCATGAAGGAAGACAATACACTATATATCATTTCATTGTTTTGAGTTTTCCTGTTTAATTTTGTCCTATTAAAAATAGTTTGGGGCTTCATTGTATTTTATGTGCTGAGAAAAAGAAGGTTGCTTATGTATTTGTACAACTGAGATAAGATATACATTTATAGGATTTGTACTATTCGTAGGCCAACTAAATCATACTGATGCATTTACAGAAGGGTGGGCAGAAAGAGGCAGATGGTTTCCCATAATAATATAAAACAAACTAAAATCATCCAAAAATGTAAATCCAGAAATCTATTCTTCTGGGAACCATTATGGGATATATGGTCGCCTTTAAGGTTGTAAAATAAGAAATGGTGCATATTTCAGTGTTATATTGATTAAACACATAGAAATACATTGACCCAAAGTGTTCGGATTGTGATCAAAACTATATTTAAGAGATTTAACCTATACATTCTGTGTCAATATTATTTCTACACTGATAGGTGGTGAAGCCACTGAAACAGACAGGAAGCTTAGGTTATAGAATAAAGAAATCAAATATATGAAGAACATGAATTCATATATGTTTCATTCCCCATGGCAGAACAATACAGCATGATTTATATCTGCACAACGATGTTGTAAACACTACAAGTGGCGGTATGCACATTAAAGAAGAGAAGCCTGTGACATAAGATTTTCAACTACATAATTACTCTGTAGCTATGTCAGATTGACAATAAAGAACCTTGAACCTTAAAAGCTGTTTGCAATCCGGCAGTGGCTCAGTCAGTAGGGGCTTGGACTGTGAGCCGTAGGGTCACCGGTTCAAGTCCCCGAATAGACCTAAATATGGAGTGTGGACTGCTACTTGGAGAGGTCCCAGTTACCTCCTGGGCGCTGCCATGGTGCCCTTGAGCAAGGAAACCCCCTTCCCCCCCCACTACCATTGCTCCCCGGGCGCTGTACAATAGCTGCTCACTGCTCCTAGTACTAGACTACTGGTACTAGGATGGGTTAAATGCAGAGGCCAAATTTCACTGTGTGTGCTGTGTGCTCTGCATGTGGGACCATTAAAGAGGAGTTTCATCCCTCCGATTCTTCTTCTATCCGCCAATAACCGAGAGAAGAAGAAGTAAACACTGCACCGGAACACAAAAAACATGAAACCACTCCGGAAGACTTTAGCGGCGGACCCTTTTGTCCCTCCCTTATTATCTTCCGCCTCCCACATGATGGTCTGTCAGATGTTATGACATGGGGAAAAGGCCGGTCAGGACGTAGCTTGACATGAAGCTAGTGGACTTTATATATAGTTTTATGTTATATATGGCATTAGTATAGCTTCATTATGCACTCCCAGATCTTCTGCAGCGGCTCTGCTGTGGTCGCTGCCCGCAGAATGCGCCGAATCCTGGGCTCAGTTCTGGGGAGAGAGGGCTGGAGGAATCATGAGGTCAGACTGATCAACTCTAACTCAGGTAAACTGAATCAAACTACACGTAACACAAGTCAAGTAGGGTTTAAACTAGAAACAGTGAGTCTGTAGCTACATGTTCTCAGCTGCTATGCTACTAACTGTCATTCATTTGCTTCTGTCAATCATTAGCTACTCTTCTTGTGACACAATGAGACTCTGGTTGTTAGCTCATGAAATAATGTTATTATTACTAGCTAGTTAAGTAGAGTTTCCACTTAGTATTATGTATGATTGTACCTGGAACTAGCAGCATTTACTAGCTAGTAGGTGAAAGGTTAAAGCCAGGTAAACTGCTTCAAACGGCTTGGTTTAACAGTTTTTTTAAATTAGAAATAGCTAGTCTGTAGCTACATGTTCTCAGTTGCTATGATACTAACTGTCATTAATTAGCTGCTGTCAGTCATTAGAGACACAATGAAACTCTGGTTGCTAGCTCATGAACTAACGTTATTACTAGCTGGTTAAATACAGTTTCCAATTAGTATTTAGTATGATTGTACCTGGAACTAGCAGCATTTACTAGCTAGTAGGTGAAAGGTTAAAGTCATTCAAACACCATGAGTGTGTTATCATTTGCTTCAAACTGCTTGGTTTAATATGTTTTAGATTAGAAACAGCTAGTCTGTAGCTACATGTTCGCCGTTCCTTGGTGTCTTAACTTACACTCTTCTTTGTACAAAATTAAACTGCTGTCTGGTTGCTAGCTCATGAACTAATGTTACTACTAGCTGGTGAAGTACAGTTTCCAATAAGTATTTAGATTTTACCTGGAACTAGCAGCATTTACTAGCTAGTAGGTGAAAGGTTAAAGCCATTCAACACCATGCATGTGTGTTATAATCATAGGTTCAATTATCCATGCGTAACATGTATTTTTTTTACTTTAATACTCAGATATAACTTTGTGGCTTTATTTGTATTTGGTGTCTTTTTTCACCTTTTTATTTCCTGCTCAATGCATTTTTAAATCTTGAGCTGCTGTAACAAGATCATTTTCCCAGTTCGGGATAATACATTTTGTATTAATCATATCCCATCTTATCTATCTCATCTTACTTACCAGACTGCCTGATTATAGTCTTTGGTACATTTGTCAGGTAGCTACACAGTTTTTTTATTTACTTCACAAATCGAAAATTCCTTTGAGGGCTCACATCTCTTTTACAGAAAAGACTTGTCCAATGTGTTACCTTCTTTATGTTATCAGCAATCTATGTTTCTTTAGGTCAAATGTCAAAATCCTATGCTCTGACAGCTTGTATACTGTTGATGTTATACTCTTTGAAACCTTGCCATAAAATGTTCAGTTTTGAGAAAGTTTTCTTGACTTTAGACATTGATGTTCAAAACAAAATCACTTAAAGAAATTCAATATTCAAACTGCATTTGATACATATAGCCTTTAACAATCCCTTACACCACATGTGTCAAAGTCAAGGCCCGGGGGCCAAATCAGGCCCGTGGTGGATTTAATTTCGGTCCGCAGGATAATTTCTAATTACTATTAGATCTGGCCCTCCGGTATATTGCACGCACACCTTCACTCAATCCTGAGGGTCTCCTCAGCTCAGAGCCTGACCCCAAACATTGATGACCTTGCACCCAAGATGAGATGCCAAGTATCTGCTTGAACTAGCATCACAGAGCAGCACACTGAGTTTACATGGATGTTTCCTTCTGCACTTTCTTTCTCACGACAACAGGGCATGTTTGGTTTGTTCTTTGAGGGAAATAGTTTTGTTGAAGCTGTTGTTGGCCTGTGGAAAAATGTAATCATAAGAAATGACTCTGGAAAAGCTGCAGATAGAGCCATAAGAAATGAATGCAACTAATTATTTAATGTTTAATGTTGTTTTTATAGGCAATCATTTAAGCTTTGTTAGTTCCAGGGTTAATATGTGCAATAAGTTCATTTCAATAAGTTCTGCAATAAACATTGAACCAGTCCGGCCCTCGACTAGTACCCATTTTTTAATTTTGGCCCACTGTGTACTGTGAGTTTGACACCCCTGCCTTACACTATCAGTTTACATATATAGTTTTACAATTTCATAGAAAGCTGTGAACAATACACAAACCAGGGTTGTTTATCAGCTAGTAATACATTAACCACCTGTGATATCCTATTGTTACTGTGTCAAAGGTTTCAATCATGGCTAACACCAACACAGCAGTTAACAGGAACTGATTTTCTATGTTCTCATGTATCACTGGAACAGTCTGTGAAAGACCTTCTCATGAATCTGTTATCCTGATGTTTGCAGGCGACACAGTGAAGATCGGAGAGCTCTCTTACAAGATCAAAACTCCAAGGAATCCGGAGCTCGTTCCTGTGAAACACTGTACGTAATAACCCATTTTACACGTTAAAGGTCACCTATTATGCAAAGTCCACTTGTCATGTCTCTTCTTCATCAACATGTGTCCCCTCTGTGGAAAGAGACTCTGAAAGTTTCAGGAACAAAGATTCTCTCTCTTTTTGTCCTGATCCATTTATATAAACGTCCCCCCCCCCCCCCACCTTATCACCTGAATCTCCTCCTAGAGCACCATTGTGTTCTTTTGAACCAAATCTCTCTCAGAGGGGCGTGGGGAGGGGCTCCTTATTTTCATCTAAAGTAACAGACAGAGAATCAGCACTTTGGAAACAGGGCTGAAACAGAGGGGATTATGGGATGCTGCAATGATCTGTTTGGTGTTTCAGCCAATCAGAGACATGTTCTGTATATATCTGAGACCTATAATATATTGATGAAAAACAGTATAATAGGGGACCTTTAAAAATAGACATGTCTGCATGAAATAAGACAAAAATAGTGGCAGCAGCCAGGTGATACTAAAGTAACTAAAACCTTATTTTGTTTGCGTCTGCTAGTTTCAGACTCTCTTCCCCAGACGGTGGTTCAGCACCTGCGATGGATCATGCAGAAAGACCTTTTGGGACAAGATGTGTTTCTGATCGGACCCCCTGGACCCCTGAGACGATCCATAGCTATGCAGTACCTTGTGAGTACACACACAACACACTTATCCAATGAAGTATTTTTATTTCAAAACTATGACAAATCCATTACCCTTAAAATGTATAAAGATTTCCGTCAATGAAACGCCCCGAGAATGGACTGTATGTTGAAACAGATTCCCCCTCACATTGTCCTTCATATTGTATTATTCTGCAGATTTCAGACAATGTCTCACTCTTGTTTGGAATAAACCTTACTTATAAATGAACCCTTGGAATATGTTGTTATTGTCTTTTGTTACTGACATTTGTTTGCCTCATTTTCTCATATCTTTATGTAACATCAGAAGCCTGGATCTCTTCCGTAAAGTTTATTTAAACAAGGACCATGCATACAAATACATTCATCTCAGAAAAGAGAAGAGATAATAATACATGACATTTATATAGCGCTTTTCTAAAAACTCTAAGACGCTTAAATGATGCATTAGATGCTTTTTGTAAATGTGTATCTGAAGTGCTGAAGTTTCCCCCCTGTTGTTCCAGGAGTTGACGAAGCGCGAGGTGGAGTACGTGTCTCTGTCCCGGGACACCACGGAGACGGACCTGAAGCAGAGGAGAGAGATCCGCTCAGGGACCGCCTTCTACATCGACCAGGTGAACAACATTCATATATTATATACACACGGTAAAAACACTCTTTAGATGTAGGCACTGTCACTGTATCATCCCCTTTTCCAGATCCTTTGCATTATTAGCTTTTTCAGTGTCAAGTTGTTCTAGTCATAAATCAGAAAGAAAACTTAATCAAAAATAAATTCTAAAATTTGATACAGGCTTCAAACTTTGGAAGTATATAATGTCCATTTACCCTCTCTATTATGTCTCATACGTTTTAGCAAAAACACAATTAGTTATACAAAATTGGTGATACTGTACATTTAACATTTCTGTCACCCAAGAACATTTTTTAAAAGTCGAAAAAGATATGCAGAAATATTTAAATATATCATTTTAGAAAAAGCAAGAAAATAACAAATTTGTATTTAATCCAAATTGTTTTTTGCCCAATTCTGCATGGGATTAGCATACATGTGTGCATGTCTGTGAAAAGGAGACTACACACACACACACACACACACACTCACACTCACACTCACACACACACTCACACTCACACACTCACACACTCACACACTCACACACTCACACTCACTCACACACCATGCCACTTCCTGATCGATCAAGCTTTATGTAAACGTACCCCCCCCCCCACACTGTTGATTTTGTAATTAAAGTAACCAAGGAGACCAGCTGCTTTCCCTTAGCGATACCTTTCTGTTCCACCATTCATCTCCATTCAATTCTCAGCATTCCAGTAAGACTCCTCACGAGCCGGATCTTTTCACGCTGTCTAACCCCAACTCTCAAGGAGCCGGCGTGAGAAATAATAATAAGCTGAGATAATTAACGTTTACTCCGTCATGTCACTATCCTCAGCTAATTAACACATAGCTTAATTTGTGTAACATAATAAATTGGTTGCATAACATTTCAAACAGAAGCTCCGTGGAAACAGGGGAGGTTTTATTGCGTCTCTTTAAGGCTCACATTATGTCCTCTGGAAAACTCACTGTGTGTTCATGGATTTCAATCAATTCATTCAAGCATTATTGGTGTGTCTCTGAGCACAGGGTCATCAAGCATGTTTGGCTCCTAAACAAGGTGAAAAGTACTCTGATCTGGTACTTGAGTAAAAGTAGAAGTACTCGGATCTTGTACTTGAGTAAAGGTAGAAGTACTGAGATCTTGTACTTGAGTAAAAGTAGAAGTACTTAGATCTGGTACTTGAGTAAAAGTAGAAGTACTCAGATCTTGTACTTGAGTAAAGGTAGAAGTACTGAGATCTTGTACTTGAGTAAAAGTAGAAGTACTCAGATCTGGTACTTGAGTAAAAGTAGAAGTACTCAGATCTTGTACTTGAGTAAGTAGAAGACTGAATTTGAGTAAAAGTACTGAGATCTTGTACTTGAGTAAAAGTAGAAGTACTTAGATCTTGTACTTGAGTAAAAGTAGAAGTACTCAGATCTTGTACTTGAGTAAAAGTAGAAGTACTGCTGATCTTGTACTTGAGTAAAAGTAGAAGTACTTAGATCTGGTACTTGAGTAAAAGTAGAAGTACTTAGATCTGGTACTTGAGTAAAAGTAGAAGTACTCTGATCTTGTACTTGAGTAAAAGTAGAAGTACTCGGATCTTGTACTTGAGTAAAAGTAGAAGTACTCAGATATGGTACTTGAGTAATAGTAGAAGTACTCAGATCTTGTACTTGAGTAAAAGTAGAAGTACTCAGATCTTGTACTTGAGTAAAAGTAGAAGTACTTAGATCTGGTACTTGAGTAAAAGTAGAAGTACTTAGATCTGGTACTTGAGTAAAAGTAGAAGTACTTAGATCTGGTACTTGAGTAAAAGTAGAAGTACTTAGATCTTGTACTTGAGTAAAAGTAGAAGTACTTAGATCTTGTACTTGAGTAAAAGTAGAAGTACTCTGATCTTGTACTTGAGTAAAAGTAGAAGTACTCTGATCTTGTACTTGAGTAAAAGTAGAAGTACTCTGATCTTGTACTTGAGTAAAAGTAGAAGTACTCAGATCTTGTACTTGAGTAAAAGTAGAAGTACTCAGATATGGTACTTGAGTAAAAGTAGAAGTACTCAGATCTTGTACTTGAGTAAAGTAGAAGTACTCAGATCTTGTACTTGAGTAAAAGTAGAAGTACTCAGATCTGTACTTTGAGTAAAAGTAGAAGTACTTAGATCTGGTACTTGAGGTAAAGTAGAAGTACTCAGGATCTTGTACTTGAGTAAAAGTAGAAGTACTCAGATCTTGTACTTGAGTAAAAGTAGAAGTACTTAGATCTTGTTACTTGAGTAAAAGTAGAAGTACTCTAGATCTTGTACTTAGAGTAAAAGTAGAAGTACTCTGATCTTGTACTTGAGTAAAAGTAGAAGTACTCAGATCTTGTACTTGAGTAAAAGTAGAAGTACTCAGATATGGTACTTGAGTAATAGTAGAAGTACTCAGATCTTGTACTTGAGTAAAAGTAGAAGTACTCAGATCTTGTACTTGAGTAAAAGTAGAAGTACTCAGATCTGGTACTTGAGTAAAAGTAGAAGTACTCAGATCTTGTACTTGAGTAAAAGTAGAAGTACTCAGATCTTGTACTTGAGTAAAAGTAGAAGTACTTAGATCTGGTACTTGAGTAAAAGTAGAAGTACTTAGATCTGGTACTTGAGTAAAAGTAGAAGTACTCTGATCTTGTACTTGAGTAAAAGTAGAAGTACTCGGATCTTGTACTTGAGTAAAAGTAGAAGTACTCAGATATGGTACTTGAGTAATAGTAGAAGTACTCAGATCTTGTACTTGAGTAAAAGTAGAAGTACTCAGATCTTGTAGTTGAGTAAAAGTAGAAGTACTCAGATCTTGAGTAAAAGTAGAAGTACTCAGATCTTGTAGTTGAGTAAAAGTAGAAGTACTCAGATCTTGAGTAAAAGTAGAAGTACTCAGATATTGTACTTGAGTAAAAGTAGAAGTACTCAGGTCTTGTAGTTGAGTAAAAGTAGATGTACTCAGATCTTGAGTAAAAGTAGAAGTACTCAGATCTTGTACTTGAGTAAAAGTAGAAGTACCAGAGTGTAGGAATACTCTGTTACAGTAAAAGTCCTGCATTCAAAATGTTCCTCAAGTAAAAGTAGAAAAGTATTATCATCAAAATATAGTTAAAGTAGCGACAGTAAAAGTAGTCGTTGTGCAGATTGGTCCATTTCAGAATAATATATATGATATGTTTTATAATGATTGATCATGAAAGTGTTCTCAAAGCTGGTAAAGGTGCAGCTAGTTTGAATGACTTTGTATACTGCAGGGTAGCTTGTGGATTGACTCCAGGTGGAACTGAACCTGAAATGATATATTGTTCAGCCCTTATTTGTATATACTTGCGAACACCCTGCACAGCACTTCAGGCGTTACTTCTCTGAGTGGTTTTATGATTTAATAGAAAGCAAAGAGGCCTCTTTCTGTGCCAGAGCAGATGACACATCGTGGCCGTCACGCTGCTGATGGGACAGTTTTATCTGGCTCTCGCTGATTTCTCTAATTTGATAGCTGTATGGCTTATAGTTATTTTCCTTTTACTAAAATGAATGGCATTGTTCCATAAAAGGGAAAGCACTGACGCTGCAATCGTGTTAAAAACGTTGCTTGTGAGGAAAGATTTACGCATTTATAACTGCCTTTAGAAAAACTAAGAATTACCTAATGTTGAAGATATGTACCTGTATTAATATATCCCTTTCGTCTGTGATAAAAACATGTTTTTAACAAGAGGAAATGGACTGTTAAATCATGAAATCTGAAAGCTAAAAACCTTTCAATTCTTTCAACAATAAGTCGTAAAAAATTGCCTTTTTTCCTCCGTCTTATCAACAGCCTTCTTAACTAAAGAGCACCAACCATGCAGTCTATTTTGGGGATATGATTTATTCTTGTAGGCAGCATAATTGGACAAACTGCTTACTAATGAGTGGCTTGATTAAAACCCTCATCATTGGCTTCATGGTGTTGAAAAAATGTGGTCAAAAATAACCTTTCACTTCCAAATCAGTCATATCTGCACGTGGGATTTTTCGCCTGACTGATTATATTTAAAAAGTCGGCAAGCACTACATTTTTATATATAATAAAATGGAATAGTATGCTTGACTACGGGGATATTCTTAGCAGTAAACAAACTATTACATTTATGAATGAAAGTGAAACAGCTTGATGATCATGAGGAACAAACTTCTGTGGAAAAACACGTGTCTTTTTCAAATCAAAAAATGTTTTATCTACAATGCATAACCAGGGTTTGTCATTTAGCAATGTAAAGCAAAATGTACGCCTTTACACATTGTACTGATTATATGGTCAAAGGGAAAAATAAACAAAACGGAAAACACAAACAAACAACAACAACAACAACAACGACTAAAGTCATCCCCTATATTCACTCAAGCTCCCAGGAAGTGCGCCGGACTCTGAGGAAAATATTCGTTGTGTCCAAACGGCGGTACTACAACTTCCGTTTCTGTCCGTGACGTCACCCGGCCCAGAAAGACTTTTCCCCATTGACTAACATTGGGAAAGAGACGTCTGTAAATCAGCGGATACTTTTTTTTTAAACTAAATAAACTACCCAGTATGAACTATTTGATAGCCCTTATTAGAATCATTAATTCCTTAAAGTTGTAAAATGCACTAAAAGCCGAATCCAGATTTATTTTCTCTCCATTCATTCTAGTGAGCCGAGAGTGGGAGCTCGGGGGGCGGGGCTTAAGGGACGCATGCTCTGTGAGCGCACATACAGGGTGTTTCTCAATGTCGAGTACGCTTGCTTGGTAGCACATGTCTTCCGAGTCACTTGCTTCAGAAGCGAGGCAAGAATACTTCCTGGCATTCGGAAAACAAAGAGTGGAACAAGCGAGCAAGTGTGCATGTGTGTGTCATATGATAGGCCCCGCCTCTTACATTTTCCGCTACAGATTTGGGGAAATTGATCCGTGCGCAAAGCATTGTGGGGATTTTAAGACTACACATGTGCAGCCTCGAAATTTCTCG